AGACACACAATGCGTATCTGATATCACACAACTGTCGACAAACTGATTTCCTCGTGTCTGTTCTGCGTCTTTGTTTTCTGTGGGAATGCGTTGGGCCAGCATTCATGCAGGGCTTTGCCAAATCAAGCCTTTCCAGCCCAGAATTGTGTTTTTTAGCGATTGTTCTCATCTGGGAAGCACGAAGACAAAGAGCTTATGCAAAGATTACCTAATCGTCCCACCGTTTGACCCTCGTGGAGCCCAGTTTGGCTCCATCAGGAAAAGAGCCCAAAATAAGGCTTTTGATGGGACGAGGGGGCGAGAAGGTCAGCGGCTATTCACTATTAATACACAGAGAAACACTGCATTTAGATGGGATCACACATCCTGCACACATTACAAATATACAAGTTCTTTCTAAATAATTGAATTATGGGCCAGGATATGCAGAGATGCAGGCACATCCTGCTCCTCGCTTACATAAGCACATCAAAAGCATGTTGGAACAGTGGAGCAGCAGCAGCGAGGAGACGTGACGGGGTGACGACGGAGAGCGTTGGGGTGAAATCAGTTAAATAGACAGATGAAGCTTTTCATTTACTTTGAAATTAGACCAACGAGCTGCTGGTGGCAGAGACAGAAAATCCCCTAAAAAGAGATTATTTTGGCCTTTTCATATTTTTTATGATCCTGTTCTCTCTAGGTTATGATTTTATATTTAAATTCCTTTTTTTGTTTTCTGAAACTGTTCAAATTCACTCTGCGCTCTTATTTTTCTGCTTTTCTAACTTACATTTATCTGTAAAGTCTTTTTCATTCTGCTGTCATTTGTATAAAAGATGCAGTTAGTGTTGATGAAATGACAACTTTACGTATATTTTCCAGCGTCTTTGCTGCTTTTCATCGTTTCTTTACCAGGTGTTTATAGATTATTATACATTAATATATTCAGTTCCCAGTGGAATCAGAAAAACAGACAATTCTGGAGCAATTAATCGACTATTTGTTATTTGATTAACTTTAATTTCATGGAGATAAGATCAGACCGTTCGTGTCGTTTCATCTCAGGAAGCACTTGGAAAATTAAAATGTGTCACTAAATACCTTAAAAATAGATAATTTCAGCCTTTTCATAACTTCTCCTCTTTCCTTTCATTGTTTTCTTTTTAAATTCTTTCTCCCAAGTTATGATTTTGTATTTTTTGTGGCCTAAAAATGTTCAAATTCACTCTGTGCCTTATTTTTCTACCACTGTCATTTTCTACTCACAGTAAAAAATCTCAGAGGAACTAAAGCAACTTTTTGCTAGTAGACGACTTAGACAAAGGTTTTGGTTTAAAAAAAATTGTTTCCAAGTGCTTCCTGTCACATGACATCATCTGCATCCTGCTCCTTCCGACTGCAGACGTGGTGAATTCAAATCCTCCTGGAAAAAGGTAGTTTTCATACATTTCTTTTGATTTTCCCCCCAAACATATTTATAATTATTAAATCATTGAAGTCTCTAGAGTAACCCTCCCCCAACAAGTTGTACCTGGGATCAATATGTTGTTGTTCGTGGGCTTGTTTCTGTGAGTGACAACAGAGGTTTCCAGTGGACACATAGCTTGTCGCTAACTATGTGGGTTTTAGAGGATATGGAGGTAGAACATGTAGAACATGTAGGTTATCTGTTTCATATGCAGTGCAGTTCTGTGACATAGAAATGATTATTTCTGTTCTGTTTCATTTGCAAAATCAGCAACAACATATGATTTTATTTCCACCAACTTGTTCCCACACTTGTTTGGCGGTTTTCCAATTAGAATTCAGTGTTTGAAAGCTTTCATGTTGTGTTTAACCTGCTGGAGATTGTTCTTATATCATACAGACTTGGTCTGAGGTGTTTATCTGATACAAAGGTTCTTTATGAACAAAGAAACCAGTTCAAATAGTTTGTTGTTGTGGGTTTTATACAGGTTTGACCCATGATCATGAGCTACCTTCCTGGGATGATCACATCCACTGGTATCCATGCACAGTTTTACATACATATATATTTTCTTTTGTTTTACACCCCCACCCCCCTTCCACCTGTTTGTTCTTATTTATTATGACTATGTTATTATTTTGTTATTACTATATTATTATTATTGTCTCTATATTGTTATTAGGTGACATTTGACTGAGTGACGAGCTGTGATTTCTGCCAACAGCTGCTGACAAAGTACAAAATGGAAAAAATAAACACATAACATGATTCAGAGGGACTAAAGTGTTTGCTTAACAACTCTGAACAAAATGTGGTCATCAATGGGTTAAACATTCACATGTAGCTGCTTTATTCTGCTGTAATGTGAATAAAAGATGCAGCAGGAAGACGTGAGCGCTGATTAAACGGCATTGTGGGACAATCAACGCCGGCCAGCTTCGTGTCCGTCTGTCTCCTCTAACCTCGAGGGCACTTCCTGTGTCGATAGGCACACAAACATATGGCGGACACACATATATGTATGTGTGTGTGTGTGTGTGTGTGTGTGTGAGTGTTTAAGTGAAAGCCGCAGACAGAGCAGGCTGTATAACTTCCGGACAGTAAACATCAGCTTTCTCATGAGAATTTTGTTCCCGTCTTCGCTGCTCAGATCCTCCAGCGGGTGTGAACTCTGCACAAGTTATGCACAAAAAAACAAAACAGAAAAGGAGAGAGAAAGCTGCTCAGTGAGAGTGCCTCTATAAAGGCTTTTAATTTAATTATACTACAGGATCAACCACATGTTACAGCAGCACAGTGAGAAATAAGAAAATACAAAAGCACGATGAGGATGTTATAAATGAACAGAGATTCATTTCTATTGTTGGACTTCAGAAGTTCAGAAAATGTAGAAAAATACTTACAATGACAAAATATGAAGCTTTCTTACAAATTAAACTACGCAGCAGTTTATAAACCTGAAGCAGATGATGAACAGATATTCAGATAATCCCTGTGAAGGAAGTTCTCACTGTTAAATAAATCAATCATTCAGACCGAGAAACTAATCAGGAGATAAATCCATATTTAAGCTGATTATGAGTTCTGTATGAAATAGCTGAAACCAAATACACAGAAAAATACAGTTTTTATACAAATACATCAGCATTAATCATCTTTTTTTCTGTTAACTGTCAGTGTTTTAAAGTTCTCTTTGCAGGACTTCTAAATGCAGCTTCACTCATAAATGATGTGAATGTTTTGTTCAACTCTGTCAGCAGCGATCTGGTGCGATGAGATAATAACAAGAAGCTTTAACCTGTTGACCTGCTCACCAGCTACAGCCTGTTGATGCTGAACTCCAACATGAAGCTGCAGCGCCATCCAGAGGTGAACACAGGACCTGCTGCAGTGTTCAGGAGCTTCATACGAGTCAGGACGCAAAAACGCACTAAAACAAACAGTAAATATGGATTTTTATAAAAGGAAATGAGAAGTTTGTGGACAGGCTGAGGACTTTCTCAGCTCAATGCTTCCAGTTCAAATGTCTGTTTTCTATCAGATTTCTTTTCTGAATATAAACATTAAATGAACACAGGCCTGAGTGAACAAATCATTATAAAGCTAAACGTATGGTCTGGAAAAGACGACTCCGTCATCAGGAGTTAGAATTTCTATAAAGGAAATGATTTTTCAAAACTTTCTTTTTAAAGATTTTGCCTGTTTTGATAAATTACTGATAATTTCTAGTAAATATCAGAGAAAAACATCAGTTATTTACATGTTGACTGTAAAAAATAAAAGGCCTGAACTGTTTCACAGAACGTCTTCAGAACAAAAATAAATTAGCTGGAAAGCTGCAGACGCTCGTAAGTCAAGGTGTTTCCACCACGCAGTCAACGTGAGGCTGCAAGAAATGAAACATCTGATTCCTGACGTCGATCAAACATGATGTCTGGTGGGTTTAGTTGATGTAATAATGTGGTTCCCTGCATCAAGTTAGTGACGAGGCTGAAAAACTGACTCAAGTTGCAGGAACTTAAACGAGCTTGATACCTGAAGTTTTCTCCACCTTGAGTCCAGGACTTGAGGTCTGCTCGTCCCTTTTAACTCGTCTTTCACTCGGTAATTAAACTGGATTTGACTGCAGAGAAAAAGCTCCGACTCAGTGTCATCAGAATATTAAAGGTTTAATGTTGAGCCTAAACATTTCTCTGATGGTAAATACGACCCAGTGGCCTAAAGGACAAGGCATCAGCCTCCGGAGCTGGGGATTGTGGGTTCGAGTCCCACCTGGGTCATCTGATAACATCTGTAAATTATACGATGATGTGAAAGACAAAGGGTCCTGTCACTTCTCCCCACCGGCTTCACTGAAGTTCAACCTCGTAGCTGTTACATAAGCCTTCTATAAGATAACACCTCAGAGTCATTTTCACACACATCTGTCAGCACCTTGAAGGAAGTCCTTCAGAAAACAGCCTCCAATATTCAACCTTTAGTTTATCACTCTGACCAGGTTTTATAAGCCAGAACAAAACATGAAAGCAGAACATCTGTAGATGAATCTGTCCCAACTGGTCTGCTGATGCTTACAGCGATCTCGTTTACATTTTGATAAATGACTTAATTGTTTAGTCATTTCATTGTCTAGCTGATAAATAACGTCCCCACGCTGATTTGAAATCACAGAATCAGTCAGAGGCGACAAAGACAACATGACGCCGTGGTGCTCTGCGACCCCTGAGCGACTGAACGAGCTCCAAACACACAGCGTTGGCATTATGCAACTGGTACCTGAACAGTCCAAAGGCTGTGCATGAGTTAATGATAAGGCTGGTGTGATGGTGGAGCCAACATCAAGCCCAAAGAAGTCCACACATGAGCAGAAAACTCAGCCGAGGACAGACTGTAGGAGCGCAGCAGAGGCTGAATGTGAGTTTATGTGCAGCTTTACATGCAGCTGAGTCAGAGTGGTTGCTGATTGACTTCACGTTTGTCTTCCTTCAGGCTGCAGCGAAGCTAAACGTGTGTCTCTAGAAGCAGCAGCAGCAGCAGCAGCACAGTGAAGATGAAGTTTGAGACCATCCTGGATGAAGTCAGCGGCTTCGGGCCTTTCCAGATCATCATCGTCGTCCTGCTGTGCTCCCCTCGGATGGTTCTTCCTCTTCACTTCATGCTGACCAACTTCATCGCCGTGGCGCCTCCTCACCGCTGTGACATCAGCTCGCTGGCCGATGGAGGACTCTTTGGAAACCTGACTCAGGAGCAGAGGCTGACCGTCGGCATTCCCCAACGAGAAGATGGAGGACCGAGATCCTGCGAGATGTTTGCAGAGCCTCAGTTCCAGCTTCTATCCAACAGCTCCAGCAGCGGTCTGCCCACGGTTCAGTGTCGGAGCGGATGGGTTTACGACAACTCCACCTTCACCTCCACCCTGGCAACAGAGGTACTGAAGCTGTCTTTGAAGGCAGCAGGTTTACGGCATGTACATCATCATATGCAGAAGATCAGAGAGCAGGCAGCAAAATAACCTCATTACTGAGAATGTGTTCTCAGATCTCGCCTCAGAACAGAAACGTAAAATAATAAATGCTCATTTTAACTGCATGCAGTCATCCAGAGGTGAGCAGCTGATACGGAGCCTCAGGTTCTACGTTCTCAGTCAGCTGTTAGGAGCAAACAGAAGAAACCTGCAGACTCTGAGAGGGACAGTTTCAGATAATATGTTGGAGCTGAGGTCAAAGCTGACGTCTTTCTGCCTTACAGGAGAAGCTGGCACCTACAAAGCTGCTCTCATCACTTCTTCCTCTGATTTACTTTCTCAGTGGGACCTCGTCTGCGACAGAAAGAGTCTGACCAAAACCTCCAGCTCGATATTCTTTTTTGGAGTCATGCTCGGGGCCGTGGCGTTTGGATTCCTCTGTGACAAGTACGGAGACGTTAAATCAGTCCACAGGGTTTACACGACATACATGAACTGTCTGAACAACTTCATGCGCTGGTTTGAATGTAAACCTGCACATTAATGTCTGCGAGTGTCACAACTTACATCAAACTTATAAAGTCAAGTCACCAAAGTTCTTCCCAGTAAAATAAAAACGTTATATTTGTATTAACAGTTTAAATATTGGGATTGTGACCCTGTGGTGGTATTTATTGTGTAATTTACATTTTAGGGATTAAAACTCTACAACAATGGTATAAAACACTCCTTAACCCGAGCATGAGGCCCTGCTGTGTTAGAAGCTACAGAACCCAACTGACATGAATGTTCTGTTTTCTCCTGCAGGTTTGGGAGGAAGAACACCCTCCTGGCCTCCTACATCATGTCCATGGTGTTCGGCTTCTCCACCGCGTTCGCAAACTCCTTCGTTCTGTTTTCAGCGTTGAGGTTTCTCACCGGCTTCGCGCTGACGGGGCTCAGCCTCAACTCGCTCGTCCTCAGTAAGCTCAGTTACCAGTGACGGTGTGTGATGTGTTCACAGCTTTACGTAAACACCAGTGTTCACTCCCTCGCCGTGCAGGCATCGAGTGGGTGGACACGGCTCACAGGTCGTTCATCAGCGTGATCGGGAGCCTGACCTGGTGTGTGGGGAACATGCTGCTGGCTGGCATCGCCTTCCTGGTGACCGACTGGAGGACGCTGACCATGGCCGTGACGGCGCCGCTGGGACTGGCTGTTTTAACCTGGTGGTGAGAGAACGTTACTGAGCCCATTGCATCCTGCAGAGCTCACCAGGTCCAAGTGCTTCTTTAAATAAGACTGTATTAAACTTAAATCTGTCTTTAAGTTTGTGCTTGTTGTTGCTCTGAAATGATCCGTTCAAAGTTCCTTCAAAAGCAACGTTACCCTCCTGAGAGCAGGCGAGTCGTTCTGTGAATAACAAGCTCAGATCCAAGAAATAGTCCTTTAAAGGGACTTGATTAGAAAACACCACAAAGTGAAATAAACCTGGTTAGTCTCCTGATAGACGTTCATTCAAAGCCATGAGTTAGAGGATTAATGAATTAATCAGTGACCAGTTCTTTATTCTGCAGACTCGCTCCGGACAGTCAGGATTTCTCTGTCCTGGAAACTAAAACCTGATCTTTGATTCTCTGTGACGGATTCTTTGCTGGAAACTGAAGAGATTCTTAAAAACAGAGGCGATCGCTGTTATTGATCAGGAAACAGATGCATCCGATTGAACACTGATGCCATAAACATACATCACAAACAGGTTGTTGTTGTCAAACTGTCTGAATAAACCCACGACGATCTGGTGTTTTCTGGTTCCAACCCTCCTGTGAATGACACTGGGACACATCGGGCCCCCTGAGCTGAACTTGTGATTCGGTGAGATCTTAATTACCTGTTGTTTGTAACTGCAGGTGGGTTCCTGAATCTGCTCGGTGGCTCTTAGCCAACGGTAAGGTGGAGGAGGCTCAGTTCTACCTGGACAGGTGTGCAAAGATCAACAGAAGACAGAAAATGTCCTCCAGCTTCAAACTGGAGGTAAGTGCTTGTGTTCTTGTTAAACTGAACTCATGATGTATTTCTGCAGGTTGCTCACTCTGACTTTACTCTTCTGCTTCTGCACAGGCTCTGGCCAACATGAACGTCCAGGAGAAGCAGGGGAGGAGCTACTCTTACCTGGACCTCATCAGAACCCCGAAGCTGAGATGGTTGACTCTGCAGACCGGGATTATCTGGTGGGTAGAGCCTTAAACATACCTACAAACATCTTGCAAATCATAAATTCCCTGAGAGAAATATCTTGGAAACTCCTCAGAATATGAGTTTTAAATCTCTGTCTCTAACTGAACATGCTTCAGTGGAACATTTAAACATATAAAGGGGTGTTCTTTATCTCCTCTGCAGGTACGGAGTGGCCTCGACGTACTACAGCCTCAGCCTGAGCATCACCGGCTTTGGCCTGAACATCTACCTCACACACTTCATCTACGCCGCCATCGAGGTTCCTGCCAAGCTGACGGTTTATTATGTCGTCAACGTCTTTGGACGAAGGAAGTGTCAAGCAGGGACGCTGATGCTGACGGCAGCCTGCGTCGCCATAAACATCTTCATGCCCAAAGGTCGGTCAGGGGTTCTGGTGTCGGTGGATTTCAGTGTTTGTGATGCTGTGAACTGGTGGGAATTAGAACTATTTATTGTTGTGTAGTTAACCCCATGAAGCTGAAAGACTTCTAGAAAATATGACCACAGCTGGACCATCTATCAGAGCCAGAGACTGTGAAGACATTTCAGTGGTTCCTGAACACCTGTCGTGTGGTTTCCTCGTGAAAAACAACCACTTCATCAAAACCACTTTATTCTACATCTGCCTCTCATTTTAAAACATTCCTAAAAACAATAAATGGTTTGCTTAAATCAAACCCTGTGAAAAACTTCTGCACTCGTTGGTGAGGCTTCTAGTGACCCAGCTGAGATCTACGGTCACACGGCAAAAACTCCTCATGAGGCTGAGCTGCTGTGTTTATGTGGAACAGATGGGAGATAAGTATAAAAAAAAAGAAAGAAAGAAAGGATGTAATTCAAAATATGAACAGTAAAATAGGTATAACATCTATACATATGCTGTAATGCTTGCTTGGAAAGAAATACTGAGCCTGTTGTTTCAGGAGTTTTTTCAGTTTTTGTAAAAAGAAATAAATAAATGAAGCTTTTGTAGTTATTATGAAGATGTGCAGCTTTACCACTGAGTCATTCTGCACAGAACCCATTCCTGAGTCCTGTCTGCTTCCACAGAGCTGCAGGACTTTATTTTGCAGTAAAAAATGAACCCACAGTGAGTGAAACTGTGACAGCAGCAGAAACACCTGGAGGATGAGTTAGAGAGGCTTTTCTTGTCTGAGCTCCAGCAGCGACGTATAAATTCACAGGCTGCTGTCGGTCAGTTGTGTGAAACAGTCGTCCATCCATCCATTATCTACACACCGCTTAATCCTCATTAGGGTCGCGGGGAGGCTGGAGTCTATCCCAGCTGACTCAGGGTGAAGGCAGGTTCACCTGGACAGGTAACCAGTCTATCACAGGGCTACACTTAGAGANCAGTTATTTACATGTTGACTGTAAAAAATAAAAGGCCTGAACTGTTTCACAGAACGTCTTCAGAACAAAAATAAATTAGCTGGAAAGCTGCAGACGCTCGTAAGTCAAGGTGTTTCCACCACGCAGTCAACGTGAGGCTGCAAGAAATGAAACATCTGATTCCTGACGTCGATCAAACATGATGTCTGGTGGGTTTAGTTGATGTAATAATGTGGTTCCCTGCATCAAGTTAGTGACGAGGCTGAAAAACTGACTCAAGTTGCAGGAACTTAAACGAGCTTGATACCTGAAGTTTTCTCCACCTTGAGTCCAGGACTTGAGGTCTGCTCGTCCCTTTTAACTCGTCTTTCACTCGGTAATTAAACTGGATTTGACTGCAGAGAAAAAGCTCCGACTCAGTGTCATCAGAATATTAAAGGTTTAATGTTGAGCCTAAACATTTCTCTGATGGTAAATACGACCCAGTGGCCTAAAGGACAAGGCATCAGCCTCCGGAGCTGGGGATTGTGGGTTCGAGTCCCACCTGGGTCATCTGATAACATCTGTAAATTATACGATGATGTGAAAGACAAAGGGTCCTGTCACTTCTCCCCACCGGCTTCACTGAAGTTCAACCTCGTAGCTGTTACATAAGCCTTCTATAAGATAACACCTCAGAGTCATTTTCACACACATCTGTCAGCACCTTGAAGGAAGTCCTTCAGAAAACAGCCTCCTCGCTGCAACATTCAACCTTTAGTTTATCACTCTGACCAGGTTTTATAAGCCAGAAAAAAACATGAAAGCAGAACATCTGTAGATGAATCTGTCCCAACTGGTCTGCTGATGCTTACAGCGATCTCGTTTACATTTTGATAAATGACTTAATTGTTTAGTCATTTCATTGTCTAGCTGATAAACAACGTCCCCACGCTGATTTGAAATCACAGAATCAGTCAGAGGCGACAAAGACAACATGACGCCGTGGTGCTCTGCGACCCCTGAGCGACTGAACGAGCTCCAAACACACAGCGTTGGCATTATGCAACTGGTACCTGAACAGTCCAAAGGCTGTGCATGAGTTAATGATAAGGCTGGTGTGATGGTGGAGCCAACATCAAGCCCAAAGAAGTCCACACATGAGCAGAAAACTCAGCCGAGGACAGACTGTAGGAGCGCAGCAGAGGCTGAATGTGAGTTTATGTGCAGCTTTACATGCAGCTGAGTCAGAGTGGTTGCTGATTGACTTCATGTTTGTCTTCCTTCAGGCTGCAGCGAAGCTAAACGTGTGTCTCTAGAAGCAGCAGCAGCAGCAGCAGCACAGTGAAGATGAAGTTTGAGACCATCCTGGATGAAGTCAGCGGCTTCGGGCCTTTCCAGATCATCATCGTCGTCCTGCTGTGCTCCCCTCGGATGGTTCTTCCTCTTCACTTCATGCTGACCAACTTCATCGCCGTGGCGCCTCCTCACCGCTGTGACATCAGCTCGCTGGCCGATGGAGGACTCTTTGGAAACCTGACTCAGGAGCAGAGGCTGACCGTCGGCATTCCCCAACGAGAAGATGGAGGACCGAGATCCTGCGAGATGTTTGCAGAGCCACAGTTCCAGCTTCTATCCAACAGCTCCAGCAGCGGTCTGCCCACGGTTCAGTGTCGGAGCGGATGGGTTTACGACAACTCCACCTTCACCTCCACCCTGGCAACAGAGGTACTGAAGCTGTCTTTGCAGGTTTACGGCATGTACATCATCATATGCAGAAGATCAGAGAGCAGGCAGCAAAATAACCTCATTACTGACAATGTGTGCTCAGATCTCGCCTCAGAACAGAAACGTAAAATAATAAATGCTCATTTTAACTGCATGCAGTCATCCAGAGGTGAGCAGCTGATACGGAGCCTCAGGTTCTACGTTCTCAGTCAGCTGTTAGGAGCAAACAGAAGAAACCTGCAGACTCTGAGAGGGACAGTTTCAGATAATATGTTGGAGCTGAGGTCAAAGCTGACGTCTTTCTGCCTTACAGGAGAAGCTGGCACCTACAAAGCTGCTCTCATCACTTCTTCCTCTGATTTACTTTCTCAGTGGGACCTCGTCTGCGACAGAAAGAGTCTGACCAAAACCTCCAGCTCGATATTCTTTTTTGGAGTCATGCTCGGGGCCGTGGCGTTTGGATTCCTCTGTGACAAGTACGGAGACGTTAAATCAGTCCACAGGGTTTACACGACATACATGAACTGTCTGAACAACTTCATGCGCTGGTTTGAATGTAAACCTGCACATTAATGTCTGCGAGTGTCACAACTTACATCAAACTTATAAAGTCAAGTCACCAAAGTTCTTCCCAGTAAAATAAAAACGTTATATTTGTATTAACAGTTTAAATATTGGGATTGTGACCCTGTGGTGGTATTTATTGTGTAATTTACATTTTAGGGATTAAAACTCTACAACAATGGTATAAAACACTCCTTAACCCGAGCATGAGGCCCTGCTGTGTTAGAAGCTACAGAACCCAACTGACATGAATGTTCTGTTTTCTCCTGCAGGTTTGGGAGGAAGAACACCCTCCTGGCCTCCTACATCATGTCCATGGTGTTCGGCTTCTCCACCGCGTTCGCAAACTCCTTCGTTCTGTTTTCAGCGTTGAGGTTTCTCACCGGCTTCGCGCTGACGGGGCTCAGCCTCAACTCGCTCGTCCTCAGTAAGCTCAGTTACCAGTGACGGTGTGTGATGTGTTCACAGCTTTACGTAAACACCAGTGTTCACTCCCTCGCCGTGCAGGCATCGAGTGGGTGGACACGGCTCACAGGTCGTTCATCAGCGTGATCGGGAGCCTGACCTGGTGTGTGGGGAACATGCTGCTGGCTGGCATCGCCTTCCTGGTGACCGACTGGAGGACGCTGACCATGGCCGTGACGGCGCCGCTGGGACTGGCTGTTTTAACCTGGTGGTGAGAGAACGTTACTGAGCCCATTGCATCCTGCAGAGCTCACCAGGTCCAAGTGCTTCTTTAAATAAGACTGTATTAAACTTAAATCTGTCTTTAAGTTTGTGCTTGTTGTTGCTCTGAAATGATCCGTTCAAAGTTCCTTCAAAAGCAACGTTACCCTCCTGAGAGCAGGCGAGTCGTTCTGTGAATAACAAGCTCAGATCCAAGAAATAGTCCTTTAAAGGGACTTGATTAGAAAACACCACAAAGTGAAATAAACCTGGTTAGTCTCCTGATAGACGTTCATTCAAAGCCATGAGTTAGAGGATTAATGAATTAATCAGTGACCAGTTCTTTATTCTGCAGACTCGCTCCGGACAGTCAGGATTTCTCTGTCCTGGAAACTAAAACCTGATCTTTGATTCTCTGTGACGGATTCTTTGCTGGAAACTGAAGAGATTCTTAAAAACAGAGGCGATCGCTGTTATTGATCAGGAAACAGATGCATCCGATTGAACACTGATGCCATAAACATACATCACAAACAGGTTGTTGTTGTCAAACTGTCTGAATAAACCCACGACGATCTGGTGTTTTCTGGTTCCAACCCTCCTGTGAATGACACTGGGACACATCGGGCCCCCTGAGCTGAACTTGTGATTCGGTGAGATCTTAATTACCTGTTGTTTGTAACTGCAGGTGGGTTCCTGAATCTGCTCGGTGGCTCTTAGCCAACGGTAAGGTGGAGGAGGCTCAGTTCTACCTGGACAGGTGTGCAAAGATCAACAGAAGACAGAAAATGTCCTCCAACTTCAAACTGGAGGTAAGTGCTTGTGTTCTTGTTAAACTGAACTCATGATGTATTTCTGCAGGTTGCTCACTCTGACTTTACTCTTCTGCTTCTGCACAGGCTCTGGCCAACATGAACGTCCAGGAGAAGCAGGGGAGGAGCTACTCTTACCTGGACCTCATCAGAACCCCGAAGCTGAGATGGTTAACTCTGCAGACCGGGATTATCTGGTGGGTAGAGCCTTAAACATACCTACAAACATCTTACAAATCATAAATTCCCTGATAGAAACATCTTGGAAACTCCTCAGAATATGAGTTTTAAATCTCTGTCTCTAACTGAACATGCTTCAGTGGAACATTTAAACATATAAAGGGGTGTTCTTTATCTCCTCTGCAGGTACGGAGTGGCCTCGACGTATTACAGCCTCAGCCTGAGCATCACCGGCTTTGGCCTGAACATCTACCTCACACACTTCATCTACGCCGCCATCGAGGTTCCTGCCAAGCTGACGGTTTATTATGTCGTCAACGTCTTTGGACGAAGGAAGTGTCAAGCAGGGACGCTGATGCTGACGGCAGCCTGCGTCGCCATAAACATCTTCATGCCCAAAGGTCGGTCAGGGGTTCTGGTGTCGGTGGATTTCAGTGTTTGTGATGCTGTGAACTGGTGGGAATTAGAACTATTTATTGTTGTGTAGTTAACCCCATGAAGCTGAAAGACTTCTAGAAAATATGACCACAGCTGGACCATCTATCAGAGCCAGAGACTGTGAAGACATTTCAGTGGTTCCTGAACACCTGTCGTGTGGTTTCCTCGTGAAAAACAACCACTTCATCAAAACCACTTTATTCTACATCTGCCTCTCATTTTAAAACATTCCTAAAAACAATAAATGGTTTGCTTAAATCAAATCCTGTGAAAAACAAAAACTTCTGCACTCGCTGGTGAGGCTTCTAGTGACCCAGCTGAGATCTACGGTCACACGGCAAAAACTCCTCATGAGGCTGAGCTGCTGTGTTTATGTGGAACAGATGGGAGATAAGTATAAAAAAAAAGAAAGAAAGAAAGGATGTAATTCAAAATATGAACAGTAAAATAGGTATAACATCTATACATATGCTGTAATGCTTGCTTGGAAAGAAATACTGAGCCTGTTGTTTCAGGAGTTTTTTCAGTTTTTGTAAAAAGAAATAAATAAATGAAGCTTTTGTAGTTATTATGAAGATGTGCAGCTTTACCACTGAGTCATTCTGCACAGAACCCATTCCTGAGTCCTCTCTGCTTCCACAGAGCTGCAGGACTTTATTTTGCAGTAAAAAATGAACCCACAGTGAGTGAAACTGTGACAGCAGCAGAAACACCTGGAGGATGAGTTAGAGTGAGAGGCTTTTCTTGTCTGAGCTCCAGCAGCGACGTATAAACTCACAGGCTGCTGTCGGTCAGTTGTGTGAAACAGTCGTGTTATTTAAATTCCTGTCATCTGAAGCTGTGAGGGTCACGTGGGCTGATCCCCACAACCAGCGTCGATCTAAAACCAGCCTGAACAATCACATCCTGCCGGGTGACGGCGAGGAAACAGAACAAAAAGCTGCACATTCGTTTTATTCTCTCTGGTCGAGCTTTCATCAGGCCGCTGAATTCATCATATGTTCCTTTTCGTTCCAAGTTAAACGCATGTTTAACCTCCGTTCTCCCTGCAGATGTGTGGCACGTCCGTGCGGTCGTGGCCGTCCTGGGGAAAGGCTTCTCAGAAGGCGCCTTCACCACCGTTTTCCTCTACACGACGGAGCTTTACCCCACGGTCATCAGGTCAGAGCCACATATTACCGCAGGTCACTTATCTCAGTTAAAATGTGATTGTTGTGAAGGTTGGAGTGTAAATTATCTACTGTAAAGGTCAGAGTGATTAACCTGTGGCCAACCGGTGCTGCTTATCCGTTAACCTTTAGAGGAAGAAGTGTTTGGATTGTTGAAGTGAAAAGTCCTGCCGCTGAGGTAGAACTACACAGGTTTAGTGTAGCTGAATTATTATTATTATTATTATTTTTATATGTGTGTCAGCAGGATGTTGTGGCTGCTGCAGCTGGAGCCGCTCTCGTCTGCTTTGTGTTCAGTTTTATCTACAGAGACAGTAAATATCTCTGACAGACAGCTGGATGGTTATGAGGAGAGGAAATGAAGTGTTGATGCACACGTCTGCTCTTGTTTCTGGTCTGAATCATTTTACTGAAACGTGAGCGGTTCAGAGGTTTGCTGGACCTGTTGAGACTAAAATCTCTGGTTTGATCTTTAACGTCTTTAAAAGCCTGTTCGGTTACCCAGTGAGTCAAACCTGCATCTTAAAGCAACGAAGGGTGTCAGAAAAGTGTAGTTGAGTGGAAAGTACAATGTTTTCCTCCAAAATGTCCTGTTGTTTATTATCTTATCGTCACGGCAGGTTAATGAGAGACTGGTTCTGCTGAACTGGGCTGAACTGCACAAAGCAGACAGAAGTTTAATATCTACAGTACGTAGAGCCGTGTCAGTGGTACGGTACCTGTGGTTTCCATTGTTGGTCACACCTGGAGGCTCTTGGAAATACGTTGCACAAAAGGTTTTTTAAATGTTTTTGTAAACGTAACAGATTAATTAAAGAAATTAGTGATTTATCGTCATTCTGCTGTTACGAGTGTAAACAGTTCCTACAGGCGACTGGTTTTCATGACGTTCTTACCGTTTGTTTCCAGGCAGAACGGTTTGGGCTACACCAACTTCATGAGCCGTCTGGGCGTGTCGGTGGCTCCTCTGGTCCTGATGCTGGACGACGTCTGGACCCTGCTGCCTCAGATCATCGTCTGCGGCGTGGCCTTGGTCTCCGGCCTCGTGGCCACGCTGCTCCCAGAGACGCTCAACGTGAGGCTGCCGGAGACCATCGACGACATCGAGGAGCCGAGGTCAGTGGACGAGCCCGCTAAAGCCACGGCGTGTCTGTAGAGTCACGCCGGCGCCATCTGGTGGCGGTTTGGACAATAACACATGAGGCCGCATCGTGATCGTACGCTCTGTAAAAAATAAAGGTTGGGATCAGCAACAGAACAGTTCCATCAAAGACAACTTTTAATGACATTCTGCTCAACCAACAAATGAGATTGCGATCTTAAATTATCACTCACTGACTGATTAACAGCATCAACACTCGTTTATAAGTTGATTACTCATAAAAAATAAAAAGCTGTTCCAATTAGCTTTTCCCTGTTACTTCAAAGGAATTAGTTTATGGAAGGTTTTAAGTTTAAAAAAAACTGTTTTTTTTTTGCTTTTTGTTCATGTCGCAGCTGTTCAAACATCGTTTAATTCAACAACAAACTTAACGGGGATCAACTTCTTTGGTTTTATTGTGAACGTACAGTTTTGAAATCTTGAAAACAAAAACAACAGATTAGAGTTTAAATCACACAGTTTTAAGTTGAGGCAATAATCAATACTGTAACGTCAATTCAACCCATTAAAATGTTTGAAAATTTAAGTTTTATCTAAAAAACAAACATATTTTTCACACACGATGTAAACCCTCTATGTGTACATTAAAACTCTTACCTCAGTATCTGCAGTCATTCTGATTTAAACTAAACATCCATGAATATATTTTCCAAGTTTTGTGTCTGAAAAAAAAGAAGAAAAAAAAAAGTGAAAATTTAAGTTCCATCACATGAAATGAAAAATGTGAAGCTAACAGTTTGTCTCAGGTCAAACGATGTCATAGAAACCAAACGAACCGAACCGTAGCTTCTGTCTGTGGGAAGCTTTGAGTGGCTTCAGCTCCGAGTCGATCCGTTTCTGTTTCGTTTCAGAACCAACTATGGCGCCTCTCAGAGCAAAGAACCTTTTGGTGATTTCCTGGAATCAAAGAGCGACACAAAAGAAGCACCTTGAGGAAACGTCCTGATGACCGAACAGCAAGCGTCCTGGCTGAGGGTTGGTACCGTCAACAGCCTCTAACAGACGTCCACAGCTTCATCTGGAACAGACTGAAGGAAGCAACTCGGTCCACTTCAGAGGGAAACCATCTCATTATTCCTCTGAACTGGTTTCTGGTTCGATTGTCTCTGTCTGAAACACTCCAACATTATAGTCTGCTATCACAGTGTTTAAATAGAATCGTGAGTGTGCAGCTGAATCATTTTAAGACAAACGAGCTTCATGTTTATGGAGAAAAAAAGCTAGAGATGAGTTTTGATGGTTTAATTAAAGACCATCGAGGGTTTAAACAGAACAATTCTGCTTCTCTGCTGCTTGTAAGAACATTCAGATAAAAATCTTTAAGCGTTTGTGTGATTTAAAAACCTCAAGATAGAAAAATACTGAAGGTCATTTGTTTGTAATATACAGACTAAATTAATCACTGGTTCAGCTGCAATCTTATTTATAACATTTATAAAGAATATTTTTGTGGCTTCTTAGACTTGACTGAATGTTGGAATAAACTGATTAAACACTGGGAAACATTCCTTTAAAATCTAATTTACTTATTTAGCAGGTTGGAAAAAAAAACAACAGAGGTGTTGCACGTGTATAAACAGGAAATATCAAAATAAAATGGTATAAAATACTAACAGTTAAAAGAGGATAGGATCTTTTTTTTTTTAAACTAAAAATAAATATTGAATATTAAGATGAAGACCGTTAGGAGCAGCCAACAGCCTTTTATAACGTGTACATGTGAGGTTTTTCTTGAAAATATCAATAAATATAAACCTGTACCTGACAGAGGAAAACTTTCTACAATAATAAAGTATTTATTTTTTCTGGTTTAGAAAACCTTAAAGTGCTTAAACCTGCTGGCAGCCAACACATCCCTGTAAGAACCGGTCAGAACCAAACCGATGTGTGCAATGTTCCAAGTTACAGTTAAAATAAAGTCTGTCAGGATATCAGACTAAACAACACGAGGACAAAAACATTAAAGTGCATTCAAACATGAGTGCAATTTAAGACATCAGTGTTTTTACATAAAGCATGAAGCCGAGAGTTTTAATGTGCCGCTGTCTGCTGCTACTGGAAAAAAGCTTCTTTTTCTTTTATTCATGCAGCTTATGATGCAACATTTGAAGCATTTTCAGAGCGTATCAGTCTGAACGTGACTCCAATTTGTCTTTTTTAAGTTTTTTCTTTTTTCCAGAATCTACTTACTTAAACTTGTTACTTAAACTTAAACCAGTTCTAATTTCAGCAGTAATCATCTGTTAGCTTGTTGGCTTTATCTACAAACAGAAGTGCACCGAGTGTCTCAGCGAGCTCACAGCATCAGTTAGTGATTCACAGAGTGTTCCTGAGAAACTGCAGAAGTCATGGTCACTCAAACACCTTACAATCCATCCATCATCTCTACACCTTAATCCTCACTATGGGGGGCTGGAGTCTATCCCAGCTGACTCAGGGTGAAGGCAGGTTCACCTGGACAGGTAACCAGTCTATCACAGGGCTACACTTAGAGACGGACAACCAAGCACACTCACATTCACACCTACGGACAATTTACAATCACCAATTAACCTCAGCATGTTTCTGGACTGTGGGAGGAAGCCGGAGAACCCGGAGAGAACCCACGCTGCACGGGGAGAACATGGAGACTCCACGCAGGAAGATCCCGGGTGTCCTCACCGGGACGCCAACCGGCGACCTTCTAGCTGTGAGGCCACGGTGCTAACCACTGTGCAGCCCCCCTTCGAATCCATCCACTCACAATGAAGTCTCACATCAGACAAAGATCTTATTTCATGTGTTACTACATGTAGTCATGTTTCCGGCTGTCTTTTAAGAACCATCACCAAATTCACTGCCCAGTTTTTTAAACTCAGTGTAAACAATTTTCAACAATTTCCCTGAGGTTTGCATCAATAAAGTTCTATTGTCTTCTATTCTATTCTAAGCTCAGTTATTTGCGTCACCATAGAAACGCCGTGCATGCGTCGTTAGCAGGAATGAAGCGTAGCTGCAGCGAAGCCTCCATTAGCTGATTGGTATCAGCCGCTGACCTGCAGCCAGTCACAGCCATGACGGTGTAACCTCACCCTTCTCATTACGCTGATGTGCTCGTACCAGCCAGGCTGCTGCTACTGCCGGCTGGTTTTAAGGATCTCAAGTCTCAGAATCCTGCTGCTGCTGCTCAGATTCTTTAAGATCTCCATTTAGAAGCATTTCTGGTTGAATCTGTGTTAAAGTGCCTCTGACGTGTTGGTGCAGGAATAACAGCTGTCCAGAACTAAGTAACAATCATCTCACATCTGTCAGATTTTCCTTCCGTGCAAACGTACGGTATCAAGTAAAACGGGTCAAATCTGAGCTCATGGGTGAGTTTTTGAGTTTCTTAAAGAAGGTGGAGTGGTGTCCATTCTCTCTGTGGAGCAGCGTTTGACTGGTTGAATCATGTTTTAGAATATCTGAAGCACTTTGAGCTGGAGAACCAGACTTTTTCTTTGAGCCCAGTAACAATGATAGAACTCTTTTGGGCGTGGTTTCACCTTTAGTACCGGCTCCACGATGGCCATGAATGCAACAAGCATCATTTCAATATTTTTTTTCTCTGACTGGTGCCTCTCCACATTGTAAAGCTCCTGTTGGTGCCAGTCACTGGAAAAAACAAGAAATATTGACATTTTTGACCAGATTTGCGCCATCATATGACTGGTTTGTGTTATTCTATCACAGTTCACCACGTGGACACATCAGTGAGCCTGCAACATGTCAGGACTCCAGTGACTTTATTTTCCAAGTCATGGCTCTTCAAACATTGATCCACAGATCGGTGGAAGAAAACGGGACTCCACCTTCTTTAAGAAGTTTGGCCTCAGATTTTACACACAGTCATCATCAGTATTCACCACTTAAAAATCAAAAGCATCTGTCAACCTGAGGACACTCAGACGCGGGACATCCAACGACTGGATGTGGAATGATCTCCTAAAGTCTCGTCTCCACGGTTTCAGCCACCGTGTCCACAGTGGGCCTCCTGCTCTCCTTCTGGCCCGGCTTCTGGCAGCAGGGCAGCGCCTGCAGCACCTCCTTCAGCCCTTTGGTCATGAATATGTAGAGGAAGGGGTCCACCAGAGGGCTGAGGTAGAGCAGCAGGTGGGACACCAGGCCCAGGTAGAGCACCGTCTCCCTGAAGTCCAGAGCCTCCAGGAGGACGCTGAGGACGAAGGGCGAGTAGAGGACCGTGTAGTTGGCCCAGATGGCGCCGATGCCCCACACCGTCCTCCTCCTCTCAGGGGTCGGGGGGTTGGACCGGGAGCAGATCAGAGCCCTCCAGGCGTCCACGGCGAAGAAGAGGAGGAAGGGGAAAGGGGCGAGCAGGGACACGGCGAACCAGAGGTTGTACCGCAGCACGGCGAGGGCCAGGATGCCGAAGGGGGCGGCCCACGCCACCAGGGCCACCACCGGGGACCTCCTGAGGCTGCTGCAGCAGCCGAGCCACTGCGGGTAGGCCACCAGGAGATGGCGCTCCTGAGCTATGAACAGCATGAGGGTGATGTTGGTGACGACCCCGAAATAGAAGATGAAGTCAGTGGGGCTGGAGGAGAACATGGAGCCATTCTCCATTTCCTGATTCACACGGGGGCGGCCAAAGAAGCTGATGATGTCAGACACCAGGAGGAACATGACGTGCATCGGAAGTTTACCGTCACCTGGACGCAGAGCAAACAGGAAGGGACATGACTGGACAAACATAGAGCATCATCATATTACACTACACAGTGTTTTACATGAGCTCAGAGCCTCTGACTGTAAACAGCATTTCATCTCATTAAAGTCAAAGACAGACGTTACGTGACAACATATTTACACACAAGCGCTACTTCTACAACTGCTCATACTTTATATATATGAGACCTGTTTGCCACTGACTTGTCACGTCTGGTTCTATCATTATTAATCACACGTCCTGCCATGTCCTGGTGTCTGATGCTGCTCATGTTAAAGCCACTGCTGATGTGAGGGTGATTTATAGTGATGCTGCACACAGTGTGGTGGTGAAACGATCCAAACAAAGACACAGAAGAAACGAGAAGTCATAACGTGTGACATCAACATACCCGGCGAGCTTTGCAAAGCCACATCAGCATAAGCCATTAAGCAGCGCTTTGATCATTTGGAGGTCAAAACGTGTCTGTGTGTCTAAAATTGTGGTTGAGCGTCATTGTCTGGATGTCTTGACGCATTTTCACCTGCAGGTCTCTGAACCGCTCCTCACCAGGACTCTAGCTGCCCACTCACAGCAGTGGAACGCTGCCGTCACAAGACAATATTTAAACATTTCTGACCTCCCAACAGAGTGCAGACAAACCTTTGGACAGATTCTTGAGGGTGTAAATAGCCAGTCCGATGGCGGGCAGCCCGATGCCGACGGTCAGCCAGCTGATCACGTTGGCCACCTGGACGGCGGCAGGTGTGGCGGTGGCGTTGCCTGTGAGGTTGCCAGTGACGCTGATGAGGTCGGGGCCAGTTGTTGTCGCTGGGTTGCTTTCAGCCATAAGAGGCCACACGGTGGCTATTTATGTGTTCAGCTGTTTAGATTAGCACCGAGGTCCCCAGAGTAATGTCCATCAGCTGATGCTGTGAGCGCAGGAGGTTGTAGTGGCCACGTTTCTCCCCTGTGGCCACAAAAACAGGAGCAAAACCATCAGACCGAAATAAGCGGCACACATTTGTACGAGCTCTAACTGTGAGCCAAGACCTTGATGGGTTTCTGCAGACAGATAGCAGAGAGCTCAGCTGATGTGTCGCTGCGTTCATCATGTAGTTTTTAAACACAACAACAAGCTCATATTGATTAACAGCAAACATGAGGGTCACTTGCAGACAAACGAGTCAAAGCAGGAGTCCTCCCTCTCAGCTGTCAGATTTTACCCGTCAAAACGTGGTTAAAAATAACACTTCTGGAAATGCTGTATTTATAGATTTGTGGCTCTGAACGTGGACGAAACGGCATCAAAGGGAATTATTCTGGGAGACTAATGTGAGTTTAAATGTGCTTCACGCTGCAGAAATGAAAGGTGGTGGTTGGATGAAGCTACAGCAGTCAGCGCCGGCCACCACGGAGCAGAGCAACATCAAAAAGATTTTATAGTGAACATGAAAAGTTCTGGGCCTCACTGGAGAACGGAGGGAGATTATTTTTGCATTATTTTTCAACACAGTCTCCTTGAACTTCACTCGGTCCATCAGTGTTTGAGCTCCACTGTCCCTGCACGCACGACTCCATCATCACTCTGAAAATAGCAACAACGCAAGCGTGACTTCAGTTGAAGAAGCAGGTAGAAGTCAGGTCGGGTGAGGGAGGTTCACGGGGCAGCAGAAGTTCAAGGCCACGTTTTACTGCTTCTGCCACCTGCTGTGTGGACGGACACGCTGTCTGCAACAGCAGCAGCCAGCTCCAAGCTTTGCTCTCAGACATTTTTGTGGACACGATATAAATCCTTATAGTCTACAGGTATGGCCCAAAATGGAAGTTGTGCTCTTTGTTTCCAGGTGAGACCTTTGCACTGACCGAACTAATCCAAATCAAAAGTCATGCTCTTTTAATTCTAGTTTGGTTTCCTGCAACCTGCGGCGAGACGTTCCTAACCAGCTAGCTGTTTGAACAGGTAATGCAGAGTCACCTGGAGCCACCTGGAGCCGCCTGGAGCCGCCTGGAGCCGCCTGCTGCTGGAAACAGGGTCAATAAAAACTACTTTGTGAGCTGGGACAGGTTCAAAATCTCAGGTGAGACTTTTCAGAAGGAGGCTGCAACACTAACTCTACAGCGCACATCATCCATCCATCATCTCTACACCTTCATCCTCACTGGGGGGCGGAGCCTATCCCAGCTGACTCAGGGTGAAGGCAGGTCCACCTGGACAGGTAACCAGTCTATCACAGGGCTACACTTAGAGACAGACAACCAAGCACACTCACATTCACACCTACGGACAATTTACAATCACCAATTAAGCTCAGCATGTTTCTGGACTGTGGGAGGAAGCCGGAGAACCCGGAGAGAACCCACGCTGCACGGGGAGAACATGGAGACTCCACGCAGAAAGATCACGGGTGTCCTCACCGGGACGTGAACCAGAGACCTTCTAGCTGTGAAGCCACGGTGCTAACCACTGTCCACCTTGGATCGTGGTCAATTTAACTTTTTTTTAACAAGAATTTACAAAAACAGTCTCATTCATGTCAACGTGAGAGCAGACGTCTGCAAAGCAATTAATTAAAAATATGAACTGAAAGTTGCATAACTTTGACTAAAACTACAGAACTGATCCTGTGTCAGAAAACATTGACGTGAAAAAGTCTTTCTGGTAAATCTTTGTCAGAATAAACAAATTAAAGTGATTTAATGTCAAAAAGCAACAAAAGAGAAATCAGCTTCCAACGGGGATGAATACATTTGTAGGCGGTGACTGTTAATATTTAAAAAACGTAATATTTCAGGTTTATCGTTGACTTTAACACGACAGAGAGCTTCAAATGTCAGAACAGATCTCTAGTGTCTTGTTATAGAACAACAGGCGCTTTAGCAGCTCTCACCATTTAAAGAACCCAGAGGTGTTACAAAAAACCTGCTAAAAAGAGATTGTGCCAGATGAAGTATATAAAAAACACACATCACAGCTTTTTAAAAATGCAACACCTAAAAAAACCCAACTGTTGTCTTACCTGTGATAAACGCTGAGTCACCTTCCCTCCACCAAAAACACCTCAGCTTGTTTTTAAAGACTGAAAAAAATAAAAGAAGACATGAAATGGTTCAAAATTAGTCTCCAGATGTCTCCGTTCCAGCTCCAGAGTTCAGGCGTCCCTCTGAGGAGGAACATGTAATTCCAGGTTTGTATATGATTCTGTGTGTGTGTGTGTGTGTGTGTGTGTGTGTGTGTGTGTGTGTGTGTGCATCATAATCCTCTCCAGGAAACCTTTTACTGCTGCAGCCTCCTTATCTGCACCCAGCTCAGCCGGCTGCTTTGAATGAGGCCTGGATGAGCTGAACATCCTCCGTCGGTTTACATGCATCCGTCTGTTTTGGCGATAATGTGGGAAACAAAGATTTGCATGAAAGACTGAAGTCGATGTATTGCGGGGAACTTTATCTCAACTTCATTCCTGCGTGTTTGCGTCGCCCCTTTTTAAAGGGGCGCCTCATTGATTTTACACTTGAATTTATGAAAGAGGACTTAAAATAACCCCGATGATGACGTAAAGTTGCATCATGTTTGACCATGAAGGACATAAAAAAGGGAAAAGCTACACGTCTGCCTCGAGGTTTGTTTTCAGCTATAAAAAGCTGAAATGTTCACACTGAGAACAGAATGTGGTGAATCTGACTCCAAATCATCACAGCGCATCTGATAAGTGGAGCCTGTGATCTTCAGCCCACATGTACATTTATGTTTCTCCACAGAGGGCAGCCGGCGACACACCGAGCCGGCCTCGAGGTCAGCCGAGCTGTTCCAGAACATACAAACTGAAAAAGGACTTTTCACGCTGCCAAACGTGCGTCACAGGTCGAGTCTGACGATCACTTGGGTCTCTCCTCCCGTCGCCACAACATGTGATCGTCTTCGGAGGCTTTTGTTGACTTTGACAATCTTTGTTTTTGGTACATCCTGTTATCTGAACGCTGAGGTCAGCAGAACGGCTGCTGCCAGGGACGGAATCAGCCAACCTCATCACAGCTGCTCATGTGATCAGTTATCTCTAACTTCTGTTCATGTCTCAGTCTTAGTCTCCTGCATGATACAGTTTAGCTGCTCTGATCGTGTATTTCAGCACATCTGTTGAACATACGTAGAACAAAGGCTGCTCGGACACACACCAGATCAAATGCACTTCAGGTGCGGCTGATGCTAAACTCTGCGTTTTGTGATAACCTGAGCAAACATGAGCGATGCTGATATGTTTCAAGTCGCGGCGTCTGTTTGGGGAATGAAGTAAAATGCAGAAGTTGGAGTTGAGAAACAAGCGTTACTAAGTCAAACAAGTGAACTTCCGAGTTCCCAGTCGCCGTCAAACACTATCAGGCAGGAAGGCTCGAACAAAAATACGTGTCATGGGAAATGTTGCTTTGGCCATTTTTGGAGCGCAACCCGTGCTGGAGGTCAGGAGGTCTTTCTGCTTTGACCTGAACCATCATTCGTCTTTCACGAGTCCTCCCACTTTGGTAGAAGGACCATGTTAAATGAGTAGATCATTCTTTAAATGTTACTGATCAGATTCTCCACTGTGCTTATCATAATGTAAATACTACTCCTGGTTCTATTATTAGTGCTGCTACTGTTGACGTCTCCCTGTTGCTGCAGCACTATATCGTCCACAACATTAAAACCAAGTGACTGATTTGGTTTCACCACCAGAACAGCTCTGACCCACTGAGTCCTGGACTCCACAGACTGTGAAGGTGTCCTGTGGTTTCAAGACATTTCCAGAATGTCCAGAAATTGGGATTTGGAGCCTCCATGAATCAAACTTATATTTCCAGCACATCCCACAGACGCTCAATCTGATTCGGAATCAGATCTGGGACATGTGGAGGTCTCCAAGTCCTCGTCATGCTCCTCAAACCATTTCACACCACACCTCCTTTCACACACTCACCGCTGAGCCTTGAGTGCTCGTGACCCTGATGCCAGGTCGGCTGCTGTGTTTCCGCTGTTTGTAACCAGGGACGTCCAGAACGAGTTTCTCTTTGCTCCCGGTCCAGTCTAAACACACCAGACACCATTTCCTCGATAAGCTGCCCCTTGCTGTGCCACCAGGGGAGGTGGGCACATCCAGCTGGCAGGCAGAGAGCATTGTGGGAGATTAGCTAGTAGAGGAGCACCACGACAGAGACTTCTAGAAGGTTTAGTGACATCAGGCAAGCAAAGACAGTTAAACTAAGGCAGTACCTGAGTAACACTTTGTGGCTGGTTGATTGGTCACATTAACAGGTGAAAACAGGTTAAAATATAGCACCAGGCAAAGGTTTGTCACTTCTTTGGCCCCAGTATTACTCACACCAGAACTTTACACTCACAAAAGCAGCTTTTCTACTTACATGTAGAACAGTAAACAGTCATTGGTGGTGATTAACAGTTAGCAGTGAATATGCTAGCGAATAGCAGCGTTAGTAGCGAAGTCGACGGTAGTGAAACTCCATCTGCGCTTGTTGTTAAATATTTTCCCGCTACAGTCCCACATATCGGCCCAATTTGCAGCAAATTTTTTCAGGCAGCAGCGTGACGGGTCGGTACTCTGGTATGACGCTGGAGAGAACGCTGTATGCAGTTATTATTATTGTTATTATTATTATTATTATTACTCTCATTATTATTACTATTATTATTATAGTTGTTATCATTATTGTTACTATTTGCATAATTATGTCATGACTGAATCTCTTGTCCACATGCAGGGATTCCCACTGATAGAAAATCAGAATGAATGCAACAGAAAGTCGCCGTGTAGCGGAGCCTCTGTACCGGGCCGCAGGGTGGATGGGATCAAAGCAGCAGACCGGTACAGCGGGCTGCGGTGTTGAAAGGGTTAATTAGTTTTGTGAGAGAGGAGAGAAGTGAGAAAGAGGAGAGACGTGAGGAGACGAGAGGAGAGACGTGAGCGAGAAAAGAGAAGTGAACGAGAGGAGCGTTGTTTGCACAACCACAATGTAACGTTTGCTGAACGTAGACAAGAGAAACTGAAACCTAAGTATCGGTTCCATGGTGTAAGTACTGAGCCGATACCAACGTGGTAGCGATGCTTTGGATCAGTCCGCCCACCACCAGACCTGCTGGGACCCATCCAGCCTGTCTCGTCCTGTCACATCTTCATGCTGCTCATTGTTCCTGCTTCAACACTTCCAGGTCTGACTGTTCACCTGCCGCCGGACTCTGACTCCTCTACAGGAGCGATCCCATCACCAGCTCAGCAGTGGTGTTCATGCAGCTGATGGGTGTACGATGAAGCTCACATCATTTAAAAACTGTGATGTCAGCGATGAAATGGTTGAAAAGTCAGAGTTTAAAGATGTTTCCAACATTTAAAGCTACATGGAGCACTGGACCTTCAGAGGAAGGCTGCCTGCCAGCAAACATCAGTGACAGCCGGTTACAGCTTCCTGAGTGTTTATACAGAAGAAAACGTGACGCATGTGTTCGGCCTGAAGAGCAGCATGTTGGTAGGAACACGTGATGTCAACAGAAATCTCCACCAGGCGGCTTTAAGCTCTACTTTATCTACAGTTACTCTAAGTCTGAAAAAATCTGATGACTCCAAGTGAAAACCCAAAGTTGGGAAACACTTTAAACCGCCCCCGGGATGCTGGTTTGTAATCTTAAGCACTTTGTAATCTGGAGAATGTGATAGCGGACTGAGTGTGGCATCCGGCTGCTCGAGGACCGAAGGTGTCAGCTTCGGCGTTTGACAGCTGAATCGCTGAACGCCGTTTCCTGTGGCGACGTTAAATAGATGAATCCAGAGACGGCCCCCAAGGTACCCTTGAGCAAGACCCTGAACCCGGACTGAACCAGAGGAGCCAGACTGAGGCTGGACTGGGCAGCTGTCAGCTCTGAGTGCGGCTTGAGGAAAGCGAGTCGGGATGTTGAATCCAAACTTCCTGGATTAAAGGGAGACTGAAGAAAACTTTGTCCGCTGAAGAGCGTAGATTCACAGCTGTCTGTCTGGTCCACGGTGTCGCTCAGTCACTCGGACGTTTCCTGGAACATAGAGTACATAGCAGACTAAATATACACCTGCAAATATACATCAGCAATCCATCAGTATGGATGACAATTAGGACCATATGGAAAATTAATCACATTTGAGCTGCGAAAGTCAGGGTCACTCCGGCGAACCTGCAAACAGATAGCAGGATATTTAGGTTACTGTCACCTCTTACCATACATTTTGTTTAATTAGCACATATTCTCATCTTGGGATGGACAAATTAATGTGAACTTAGATCCTGTCCAGCGGTGAGTGGGGATATTATGGAACAGCGATTGTTTACAGGCATGAACTGGCGAGAACTCTGACTTTCTGATATCTGATATTTAATAAAAGCCCAATATTAGTTTAATTTGTCGGATGTAATCGCGCCGTCGCGGTGAATAATGAATCAACCGCATGCGAAAAATTTCTCTGACAGCGCTCATACTGTGCCGATGAATGGCGAGGACGTCGGCCATTCACGTAAGAGAACATATGAAAGGGTCGCCCCCGAGCCGCGAGAGGAACTTGGGAATCCGTTGGGCCCCCCTCGGCTCCTTTCAGGCCGCCTTTACAAGCGATGTGTTCGGGTCATGCTACAGTTGACCTGCGAGCGGCAGGATGCTCGGAGATACTGTGAGCTCAGCTATTGTTCCTGCGAGGGGGCCCAGGCATGCTGCTGTGCATCATGGGAAGAACAGCATGGTTCTGGTGGCGCTGTGGTCGGCGTGACCTGCTGGCAAAATAAATCCTGCAGATTAAATGTCCTGAAATGTGCTTTTCAAAGCATTAAAAAAAGAAAAGGGTCTATTATTTTTCGGTAATGCCGTTTTCTCAGACTCATACGTCTTAAAGTTGCTTTTCTAGTCTCAGGACTATTGATGCAGGATATTTATGTGCCGGCGAAGAGGCAGCAGCTCTACAGCCTCTGCACTTTGTAAAGTCAACCAGTCTGTGGAAATGAAGAAATACGGTCAAGAAGAAGAAGAACTGTTCATTAACATACCACAGGTTTCACTAGAAAGTCATCAAAAAGTGTGTTTGTATGATTACAGCAGGGAAATAGTGAGAATATCTAGCATACTGTTGACGTATTGCTTCAAGTTGTTCATAAATATTATATTAAAAAGCACATGGGGGCCTGAAAATGAGCATTTCTTTATTTAATTATCCACTGGTAGTGTTTTGGATGTATGTTTTCCTGTTCGTATTGCTCTGTGAAATAATATTAGCATTAACCGTGAGGTCCGAGGTTCACTTATCGGGGTTTTTCCAAAGCTTTCCGCTGCATCTCGCCAGCGCTGCTTCGGCTCCCGTGTCCTGCTGTGAACTCTGTTGACTCGATAGCAGGTGGTTGTATAAGCCTACGGGGGGAAATTCAAAACCTTGGCTCTGTTCAAAGATGGTTTTCCCTCCAAACAAACTCTGTCTGCAGATGAAGAACAGGAGATGCAGCTGAAACGTCCGGACCGGGCAGCAGATAGACCTGTGGATGAGACTTTTACCCTATTTATTGTTGTTATTGCACTTCCTGTTGTAGAAAAATGTGATAAGTGACTGTAGCCTTGTTTGGTGTGTACAGTTCAGAGGAATGATGAGCAGCAGCTAATCTGGGGATAAAACATATCATCATCAACGTAATAAAAGCTCACCCTGTTTATCTGGATGAATGTTAATGACAAGCAGCAGCTGCTCATGGAGCGACATTTTGTTTAATATTAAGTGAATAAATAAATACTTCAATAAACAGATATCACTGTGAAATCAATCGGTATGGCTATGAAATAAGAATAACAGGCGACAAGTAGAAGATTTAAAGAAGGATTTTAAAAAAAAAAGGTCAAATCTACAATATCAGAGACTTTATATAGTATTTTTTTTTTTTTAATATTGTTTTTTAGACAGACGTACAGCTTGTGCAGAATGTGAAAATTATTTCCTAAGTAGTCCTTTGAATTTATTTTTTTCTAAATAAAAACATATTTAACTCTTACGTTTATTGGCTCATTTATTTATTTCAAGGTTTATTTCTGTCTTATTATCTTCTAAATCTCTTTTCTGTTCTATTTTATGTAATATTATTTGTCTAGTATATATATTTCTTTAAATTACGGTTTGCTGAGTGTGTTTTGTGTAAGTTAATGCAGCAACACTAGAATTTCTCATCAACCAAAGCATCTGTGCAGCTGGCTCGCTGTAGAAGAGCAAAACATTTATTCAGGATGTTAATTCAGCTGAGCAGGAGTTTCAAGGATGAGCAAAATATTTGTCCAGTCATGTAAAATCTTTTTTAACAATAAAACCTATTTATCTAATTATTTCATTTATTTATTTGAGGAATTATTTCTATTTTGTGTCTCATCTAGCTAAATATTGATCAATTTATAGTAAATTAATAAAAAAAATAATTCTGTCATTTAAGTGAGACAACTGTATAAGTTGTGCAGAAACGTCCAAAGAAAATAAAAATAAATAAATTTTACATCTGTATTTATTGATTCAATCATGTATTTAAGGATTTCAGAGACATATTTATTCTCCTCAGAGGAATATTTATCATGTATTTGTCCAGTAATTGTGTAAAATCTTAAAAAGTAGTCCTTTGAAAAAAGTCTTTTTGAAAGTGAAGCCTCTTTATTTAACCATTTAATTCATGTGCCTCTGGAATTATTTCTGTTTACATCTGATCCATTTTACACGTATTGAATTAATTTTAAAAACCTGTTCTTGAAGTGAGACAACACTACGGACTGTGCAGGAAGGTCCGAAATCTCAAAGAATTACACATATATCTGTATTTACTGGTTCAATCGTGTGTTTCAGGCTTTCAGAGCCACATCTGTTCATCTCATGAGACATTTATTCATCTTTGTAGCTTCAGATGTATTTAATATGAACTCAGGCTGCATTCCTCACATGTTGGGGGAGACTCTGTGGTTTAAAACCGTAAACTGTGGCATTATTTGCTGTTTTGCTCTCATGCATGTGCAGCCAGTTTGAACGCAGCGCGGGAACGTTGGACTCTACCATTAAGGCAGACCTGCGGTGTTTCCACACTGCGGCCATAAATGCGTAAAAGACGCGCGTAATTGCTGATATCTGATCATAATTGGAAGGAAACCGGTTTATTCATGAGGTTGCATCTGCACATTAATGGAAGGGTTTATTCTAACGGAGCGACTCCGTGCCTATGTGCGTGTTTCACCTTGACTCGCCGCCGCCGCCGCCGCTGCAGTACCGGCCGCCGCCGCCGCCGCCGCTGCGCTTCGGGAGCTGCTCTCCATTAGCGGCTCATGCAGCAGCAGCAGCAGCAGCAGGGAGGGATGTGTTGTATCATCCCGGCAGCCCGACACACGCTCAGTCCTTCAGTCCTGCGGCTCCATCATGGCTCTCAACATCCCCGGAGTGAGCGTCATGATGCTCTTCTACCTGCTGGTGCTCGGCATCGGCATCTGGGCCTCCATCAAGTCCAAGAAGGAGGCCAAGAAGGGCCACGGGGACAAAACGGAGATGGCTCTGCTGGGCAACCGGGGCATTAACCTGGTGGTCGGCATCTTCACCATGACAGGCGAGTAACTGCGCTAATGAGCCAAGGACAACAGGGACTCGCTGCTCTCCGTGTTTTCTGTGTGTGGGGGTGATTTTCACCGTCTGCTGCTGCGGTTTTCTGTTCCACATATTCAGATTTTGAGCGATTTGCGAATTATGCAACGCGATTTCTCGGCTCGGAATCTCATTTGTTCTCAAATAAAATTAAATAATATGCGCTAAAAATGAGAGATGCACGTGTTTCTGGGGCGGTTTTGTTCTCCTTTTGACCAATCCCGAGGTGCCAAATTACGCATTTTGAGCCAACCAGAGTCCATATTCATGTTCTAATTGGCTTTTATCCGCGTTATGTTTTTTTTAAAACCATTTTATAATAATGCCTCGTCACGTGACGCCCCAACATGGGCGCTTTAAAATAATTGGTCATTAAATTTACAGTTATTTCCACCAGCCCCATTTAAATTTAATCTGCTATTAAAGTTACAGTAGACAGGCTGGTTTGTGTTCACAGATCAGGTTGCAGCAGCAGCAGCTTCCTCCCTTCCTGCTCTGTGTGTGAATCACTGTATGTATGTAATGTGTGTGTCATGCAGCTACGTGGGTTGGAGGTGGCTTCATCGTGGGCACGGCGGAGGCAGTGTACAACCCGTCCATGGGCCTGATCTGGGCCGTGATGCCCATAGCTGCCACCATGTGCTTCATCATCGGTGAGGCTTTTAAAATAATTACCGGTGGAGCTGAAGAGCACTTCAGGGTCACCGCTCTCTGTTCATACTGTGGCACATTCAAGAAAACAGGCGAGCTCGGACGGATTTAGAGAAGAACAAGGATTCTGCTGCTTGTAATTTCCCATTTTTTTTACAACAGCCTCTTCTGACACCATGAGTAATGAGTGTCCTCTGACAGGCGGACACATGGCTGGAGTCAGACACAAGGACAGCAGCCAGACATCATGCCAGCACTGAATTAAAGTGTACCATAACTCATATAGAACCACCAAGACAAGGACGAGGCTGCTAGGAGCCATATAGCTGCTGCAGCGCGCTAATCTCCATCTGAAATCAGATTTTTATCCAGCCTGCCGTGAGAGCAGCTGGACAGTAAAGACCCTCGACTGGAAAACAGATGTTGTAGCCCAACAACAGCACTAATGAAAGACGTCAAGGTGATTTTACAGTCCTCTGGTGTCTGACTCCGACGCTGGAAAGCTGCCAGTTTACAGTAGATTCTTAACCGCAGTCTGGTAAAAATTATGTTTCGGTACCTCGTCCATATGGATTTTTAATGAGCACAACAAGCAGCGAACGCATACGCCGAGTATCCACCCTGAAACCGCAGCAGAACTACGACAGGCGAGGTTTCAACACTCAGACCTGCAGGACTAATCCTGTCAGGCTGCAGATTGGAGCGTTTTCTATCATTACTCTTCTTCAGAATCGATTTCCGGCTCCAACATGTCCGACTAAATCACTCCAGCATTACAGCTGTGTAACCTAAAGTAGTTTGAGCCGAGCTGTAGGTGAGCTGGTGTGCTCGAGAGGCAGAGGAGCTCACAGTCAAGATAAGCCTTCAGTGATCCCACAGTGGGGTAATTTGCAGTTAAAGCAGCAACGAGGATGCTGCAAACATGTAGGGAACATGAGTAGAACGTAAAGAGAACATTCTTCCGTGTGCAGAGTCCTCTGGTTGTGGACCATACGGGCATTGCACACGACTTTAAGTTAGAAATACAATGACGCTGCACATTTCTCTGCCCAGTAAACGGAGGCATAGGAGCTGTTTTCAGCACAAAGGGATTGTTTTAATGGAAAAACTCAGAAATGTGTCACTTTGAGACACAGGAAGGAGTTATTGGAGAGCGACTTCAAGCTCAGTCGAGGAGTTTCTGTCGCTGACATTCAAGCGGGCTGTAAATAGTTTCCTTCAGCAATAGCTGGATGGTTGTAGCCTTAATTAAAATCATTTATCCTCCGCGTTGTCGCCGACTTAGGGGGCTTCGTGCTCAGCTTGTCAGGCTTTGTGCTGCTCTGTCAGCCTTTAATTTACCTCAAAGCGCAGCTCGTTTTGAACAGAAATCAGTCACTCATTGTAGAGAAACTCTCTGTTACTATTGTTCTCGCTGCATGTTCGCTGGAGATCAGGATTATTACTTCTCCTTCTCCTGAAACTGCATGAAGGTCTCCTGGGAAACGTAGGAATTCGTTATAGGAAGGTGAGGCGGGAGATGATGTCTTCTTCCCATACAGCACCACGTACTGTAAATGTTCCCCAGAGTTTTACTGAACTTCACAGAACGTCAAAGCCAAGAGTCTGAACAGATGCCTGAGGGTGAACTTCAGCATTCGGGGTTTTATGATGGTTTTTTTTTTTGATGGAAGGAAACATAACAGGTTGCACAAGTTTCCTTATTTGTGCAGATTAGCAGAGAAAAACAGCATTCCTTCTCCACGTGAAAGCCACATGAGAAACAAAAGATTGATCCTGTTAAAGCCTCCTGAATGCACACCCACACTTCTTTTCTTTTACTGTTACTGTACATTTGAAAGGTTTTTTTTTTTTCCAGTCACCAGCCTGTAATTTTAACATTTAATGAGATAAATCAGTGTTTAATCGACTCTAATGAGCATTTTGCTGCAGAACATCCTCATTATCACACCTGAAGGGAGAACAGTGAAATCAGACGTCTCATTGAAGTGTTTTCTAACTCAGAGCCTGAGCAACGCCTCGGGGAGCAGTATATTTAGCACACAGGTCTAAATCTTTCTTCTGTCTTTGAGGTGGCCTCTTCTTCGCCGAGCCCATGAGGAACAACAAATACGTGACCATGATGGATCCTTTCCAGATCAAATACGGAAAAGTACCGACAGCCGCTCTGTCGCTGGCTTCGCTTGTATCGGAGATTATGTGGGTGACAGGGACACTCATAGGATTAGGTAAGAATGTTTCTATATGCAACACCTCCAGTGAGCGAGTGTGTGTCTGTGATCCTGGTTGATCCCGGCAGCGGAGCAGCTGTTGATCGCAGCTCTTTGCCGAGGCGCTGAGTGAAACACAAGCCTTTGTCTATACTGTACGGCCGGTCTGAAATAGCTCCATCGGGGGAGCGAGGGCTTAAATCACACCAACAACCCGCAGCGGGTGACGGCTCTCAGACGTATATGAGGGTAAACAAACTGGCTGCATGGTCACAGTCAGCCGCCGCCGAGGCCTCTTATCGCTTCAGACTTAGTCTAGCCTACATGTGCAGCTCCTGGACTGTACTTTAAAATGCTGTTTTGTGCTGCTTTCAGCTTTCTAAGTGAAATACAAGCTGTCGTTTAGTTGTGTGCAGCAGCAGCATCACTACACACTCCTTTTATGTTTCTGCTCCACCTCAGACTGCCTCACAACAATGTGCACATGAAAGAGTTTGTCACTGAAACGTCCACATAAGAGCAGCTTCTGAGGCTTTACATCCAGGCAGCGATGCACCACGCTACATTTTTAATGACATGACATGCACATAATCAGAGGAAGCATCAGCCGCTCTGCACAAATGTTCACATCCAGTGGACAAAATGAGAAAACTACTCGACATTTTCAAACCAAACTCTAAACACATCTGAACGTGATGCTACTTTTTGTCTCGATGTTTCATTTTAAAGACTTTATCTGTAGAAACTCATTCCTTTATACACGTCCGTCTTAATTTCTGTGAGTCAGACAATCCGACCAATCTCTGGTCAGGTGTCTGGAGGTGTGTGTATAAGGCACTAATGTGTGTGTTTGACAGGCGTTACCATGAGCGTGATCCTGGACCTGTCCTACACGGTGAGCATCTGGATCTCCGCCGCCGTCGCCATCACCTACACCCTGCTGGGAGGCCTCTACTCGGTGGCCTACACGGACATCATCCAGCTCATCCTCATCTTCATCAGCCTGGTGGGTGTCTGCTCTTCCTCTTTCCTTGTTTCACTCCATGACTGTCGTCCATAGTTCAACATTTTGGGAAATACAGTTTGTTTGTTTTTTGCTTTAGCCTAGCTTAGCATCAGGAATGAATGAAACAGCAACGTTAAAACTTGTGAACATGTCGTTCCTTGTTTGGAAAATCGTAAACAGAAATGTGAAAAACCAACCGTTTACAGCTGGACTTACATGCAGAGAAACAGTTGATTCTTCTGCCAACTATGCAGCATCTCCAACGACGTTACTGCCCCCAAGAAACCCTCCGTCAACCTCAAAACCCGCCGGCACGTTTGAAACGCGTGCTATCTCTTTTTGTTGTTTTTAATTCAAAATGACGCCATTTATCTGAAAAAGAAAAAACATTTTCTTGTGTGTGTATTTTTAACTTCCTGATGAACTAATTATCTGTAACGAGCCGATCTGTTGGTAGAATGAACCAAACAAAAAACAATCTGTGCTCGTTGCTGTGTTGTCCTGATTTATGGCGTTATCGCTGAGTCATGCTGCACGCTGTCATGTCTGAGCTCAGAGCTGCAGCGTCACACAGTGAATGAACGTCTGAAGGGTTCAACTGCAATTTGTCATTTTTAAATAGCTTCCAGGGTTAACTAGCGAGCTTCGGAGGCGCATTTTTAAGCTCTAGAGATCCTCACTGGGCCTTTGTGTTTATGCTAAGCTAGGCTAATTGCCCACATACTTAGACTGTGTAACTGACAATTTTCTGTATTTTACAGATGAAAAGTTTGCAAATCAGTTGTGCTTTTACAGCCTTTTACAATCCTGTGTAAACATTAGCTTCTGATGGCTAACGGTGCGCTAACGTCGGGTGATATTTGCTGGTTTAGTTTACCGACAGTAAACTGTGTCTTCCACTTCTGCTGCAGTTGGAGGCAGCAGACGCTGTTTTCTCAGCTGCTGCCTGTGAAATGAGCCACTTCTCTGGCTGCTCTTCACTACATATACATGCATGTCCATAAATAACAGCACTCAATAATTCATGAAGCAGCAAACTGAGAATTCGGACACTCGGATATCAGCACCCTGAGCTGCAGAGAAACACGGCGGACATGTTGGCATCTATGAGGAAGCCGGACAGCTGAGTGAAGAATACGTTTAAATGAACTTTCCTGGTGTTTGCTGAATGTGAGCGCCTTGTGTTGCAGTGGCTGTGTGTCCCCTTCACCCTGATCAACCCGGCTGTCCTGGACATCACTGAGACGGCCTACAACAGAACCTACCAGTCTCCGTGGGTCGGCACTCTGGAGGCCGACAGAGCCTGGAGGTGGATTGATAACTTTCTGCTCCTGGTGAGTGCAAGAAAACCAGAAAATCTAATATCACAACGACATTAAATCTGATTTAGGACGAAGCTTGTTGGAGGATGACAACCAGGCGTCCTCGTCGTTCTATTAAATCAAGTTCCAGCGCAGACTGTGTCTTTGGCGTCTCTGAGCTTTTGCAGATGATGCCGTTTTGTCTTTGATCAGTACATTGTGATTCTTCTCTCAGGCTCTCGTGTTTGCACAGATTCTGCAGAAATGTGAATTCCTGCACTTGAGGTGGTTGCTAAAAAAGACAGCTGAACCACTCGTGACACTGTGTCCAAAGGTTTCGCTCGGTTTATTAATACGTTTTGTGTGGAGGAGATCTAAGGAGTATATTCCCAGCGTGCCTGAGAACTCCTCAGGAGGTGGAAGGTTTCAGGATATTCGAGCTGCTCCAGTTTTCAGCCTTTCGTTTGCCAAGAGATACAGCCCGCTGTGATGAAGTAACATCCCCAAGCGTCTTGTTTTTCTTACCTTTTGTTCCCGCTTTCCTTCCAAGGGTTTGGGAAACTTGGGTCTGCAGAACTTCCACCAGAGGACGCTGTCGGCCGCCTCCTCCACCACGGCCAAGATCACCTGCTTCGCCGCCGCGTTCATCGTACCCACGTTGGGAATCCCACCGATACTCCTGGGAGCAGCAGCTGCATCGACGAGTACGGTTCAGGAACAGAGATTTAAACGTTCATTAGACCACTGTGACCGCTGTTTTCTGCGGTTCTTGGTGGAACCACACTGAGTGTTTGTTCCTAATGTTGCATGGACGCTGTTCCGCTGATTCCAGGCCAGTTAGCAACAACTCTTTCGCTTTCAGTTTGGTTTCCTGTTTAGGTAAAGATGGCTGCTTCTTCTTGTCATTTGGCAGTCTTCTTCTCAAGACGTTGTTGAGTAATAATTTAGTTTCTGCTGACTTGGTAACTCAACGATAGTTTCAGCCATCTAGTGTGAATTTGAACATTTTTACAGTTTCCTTATATGTTTAAACAAACATTAACTGTGTGTGTTGAGTTATTATCAGACTCTGTGTCTTTTAGAAGATGCTGTGATTATTTAACCACTAAGATAAAACTTATCAGGTGGTCTAAGAACTGATTTCTAAAGCTTCACATCACTTCAGATTTTCCCTTTGGGGCTTAAATAGAAACGTTTCCATCCATTAGATGACTGAATGAGTCGTTACTGTGATCATCAGTCGCCTCATTCAGGACAAAAGAAGCATGTTGTGTTTGTTTGTCGTCACTGATGCGTGTTTCTTGTTCCTCAGACTGGAACCTGACCTCTTACGGTTCTCCGTCTCCTGTGGAACGTGGGGAGACGGGACTCATCCTGCCCATCGCCCTGCAGCACCTCACCCCCACCTACATCTCCATCATCGGCATCGGGGCGGTGGCGGCCGCCGTGATGTCCTCCACCGACTCGGCTTTACTGTCCGCGGCCTCCATCTTCACCTCCAACATCTACAAGAACATCCTGAGGACACAGGTGAGGAGGAGGAAGAGGTTTTACACGTTTATTTAATTGCTGAATAGAAGTTAAACTGCTGCTCACCCCGACGGTGGTTTGTCCTGCCGGCAGGCGTCCGAGCAGGAGATCCAGTGGGTGATCCGGGTCTCGGTGGTGGTGGTGGGCCTGGCCGGGACGTCTCTCACCTTCATGGACAACAGCGTCCTGATGATCTGGATGCTGCGCTCCGACCTCACCTACACCCTCATGCTACCTCAGCTCGTCTGCGTCCTCTTCTTCAGGATCTCCAACGGCTACGGGGCGGTGCTGGGCTGCACCGTCGGCATCCTGCTCAGGGTGCTGTGCGGCGAGCCGCTGCTCGGGATACCGCCCATTCTCAAATTCCCAGGATGCACTCTGGTGAAGGGCGTGTACGTCCAGCGCTCTCCCATCAGGACCATCTGCATGCTCTCTGCCGTGGCGGCCATCTTGCTGTTCTCCTACCTGGCGTCGGTTCTGTTCAACAGAGGCCTGATTCCTGAGAAGTGGGATGTTTTCAATGTAAAAGCTCAGTATTCAACACAAACACGGGGTGGCGCCAAATCCGACTTCAAGGACCAGGACTTGAAAGAACAAAACGAGAACGATGAAGTGTGCGAACCAATGCTAGAACTGACATGTTAAACCTCATTTGAAGTAACATTTTTATACATTTCACATTACTTTGTTATGTTAAAAAAGCAAAAAAACAAATAATGAGACACTTTTAATTATAGTACAGTATATTTTGAATTTTTTGTATATTTTTATATGCAGCATAAATGGAAGAACATCTCACCTATGCTCTTGGTTATAAGAGCTTAGCAGTTTCTCTGCAATTTTATGCAGCAGTGATGCTTTCAAGTGTTGTCGGATGAGACAATGGACCCCCGCCGCTCCGGCCAGACGCTCAGTTTGCAGGTTAGAGTTAGAGGTGCTGATGTTTGGTTGAATACTGAACCTTAATTTCAATATTTTGTCATCACAGAGAAGACGGAGGGCTTCTCAAAGCGTCACTACCACGTATTATATATAACAATATAGAAAACTTGATTGTAAACGATAAAATAATAACCTGTGGTGTGCAGTCTTTCCGCAACTTAAATGACTCATGTTAACGCAGGCTCAGCTCAACTGGAAAGCATGAACAAAAAAACAAATACAGTGAAATACGATGTGAGGATACGGATTAGGATCAGGACCAAAAAACACAAATAGGACCCACTTTCGACTGAATTCTCCTAAATGTCGAATCTTAAAAGATGCCTTCTAACACGGAGACTCTGGCAGCTGTGCTCATGAGGGAATCCGCCCACTCTGCTTCAGTCCTGCCTCCAGTTCAGGCTTCAGCGTTTCAGAACAGTAACGTATGTTGAAACCGACGCAGGACCAGTAGTTTGGTTCATACTGCCAACGTGCTGCACAACTGCCAAACACATGAATGTTAACCGACAGCCCACTGACCTGCTCTTTCATGCTTTGAAGGCCAATTTAATTATTCTGTACTCTGGCTTCAACAAAAACAGCCCACATGAAAGCAAAAGGCGCTTCGGTGAGCCTAAAATTTGCAATCACGTAGTTAATTTAAAATAAACCCACTGTTTCTGCCATTTACTTTCCTTCTTTTCTACACTCGGGCATTATTGTTGTGTTTTCTTTTTACTATTCTTTCAGATTTCTCGTCGAGGCTGTGGTCAGTGTGGTTTCTTGCACTCGGAATGCAGCAGCCGCTCAGTGATGTGTCTTTTTACAAGTGCTTTCTCACTTCTTTAGAAACTCACCAAGGATTATGTTAGACGTTAAAGGGAAGTTCTAGTATTTAATTAACCGGAAATTATAGTTTAAGGCACAAAAACAGCATTAGGATGGAGAGATGTCGTGATAGATGATGTTATTTGTAAAAAACGACATCATGACTACACGAGGACATCATTCTAACACAGTCGAGCTGCAGCTACAGACGCCCTGCGCTTGTATTTTGAGTTTAAAATGACAAAAACTAAGCAAAGCTGAGGGAATTTTTTCCCAAGTTTTCCTAAAATATCAGAGTGAAATATCTAGAATCTGGATGGATGTGAGGGTTGATTATCAGAGCGGCAACCATCTCTCTCCTGTAATGATCAATTGACCACGAATCCTGAAAAACCATCAGGATTTACGACTTTTCTTGGTGTCTGCATCCCAAAACTCTCTGATGTGATGACAGAAACAAGGACAAGAGGTTAAATGCTGGAACTTCCCTTTAAGCACTTGGACAATATTATAGATGTGCTGCTTAAAAAAAACAAAAAACAAACAAAAAAAAAAAACAGAACACTCTTCTCTACTGACTGCTTGTATAAATAATCACTTAATGGGTTACTGTTTAACTGAAATAATTAAGATGGCTTCAAATACAATGAATCTTGTGAATAATATGTCTGAAATGTAGCCGAACATGGATGTAAAGAAAAAAAAAGAAAACAATGTTAGAATTAAACACTTGGCTCCAGCCCAAGATGCTTCACCTGACTTCACGTGTCCTGCGAGCTTTGCTGTAACACGACACACAGAAATAACCGCGCCGTGCTCGATAATCCCACACGGGGCTGCGTGGCATGCCGGGACAATGACAGATGTCCGGACTGTCCCTCCCTGATGTCCGTGTCAGAGCCCAGGAGCCATATATCAGCGCGGGACTACATGGCATGAGGTGACATCTCGCTCCTGACTTGAGCGTGTGCCAACAGCTCTGGTGGAACAATCAGCCCACAGGACGCTCAGATAAAGGTCTTCTATAATAAGACCACGCCAGCAAGTGTTGCTGTCAGAAGGACACACGGCTGCTCGCTTTGTCCTCTCATGGATAAGTTGGCGATGAAGTTCAGAATGAGAAGCATGAAGCAGCAGATAGTGACGGTGATGTGCTGGATTAATGCAACATGCCAATACTCCTGCTGTCCACCTCCAGTGTCATAGAGGCTCCTCTGTCTGTGTTAGTTCACCTCAGCCTCTCTGCTGTTCAACCAGAAATCAAAGTCGAGCTGTTTTCCCCCGCGCTGAGCTGAGAGGTTTAATGTTTCATGATGTGTGGCTGATCGTCATAACAGATTGGACTGATTGAACAACGTGCTGCTTTGGTTCTGATGCCTGCCTCCGTCTGTGGTCACTCTGTGTTCTCCAGCCGCCCACCGCGCCGTCTGATTGGTTACCAGTCATAGCCTATAAAAACTGCAGGATCAATGTTTAAAAAAAAAAAGTTTCCTTTAGTTAAAATATGTAAAACATAAATAAACAAATGCATTTAAGCAGCGTGTTGTGTTGTTGTTCTAAATGGTTTTGATACTGCATATATCAGTCTCCAGGATCTGATCCGTCCTGTTTGTCTAAAACATCTGTTCTGGTTCTGAAAACAACACCTACTGATGGACCCATAGTTTGATTCAGTCTGTGTTGTGGAGCAGCGTCCCGCCCAAACTGCAGGATAAACGGGAAAAGCAAAATGTTGTGTTGATCTAATTCTTTTTGAGATTCTTATTGCAAACATATTGAACATATTAGTTTTAAAGATCAGCTGTAGGTCTTCCTGAGTGTCTAGTAAACACTTCTGGCTGTGAAAAAAACCCACATGCTGGTCAACTAATAGTTTAAAATCAGAACAAGAACACAAAAGTGATCAAATATAATCACGTATAAGCATCAGCTGTGGAGCTAAACAGTCCTGCAGCACTTTTCCTGCATAAAGTTTGAGTTTATGTAGAAAAAGCAACGTTAAGAGAAAGTGAAATGCTTTGGTCACAACACTAAACGCACAAATTCTTACTGCACCAGCAAATTGTTCCCAAACAAGCAGAAAATCTTTATAAAGTTTTTCTTATTTTTTTTCTTCTCTCATGTAAACTAATAAAATAGATCTTTCGTGGAGCAGTTTGAGCTGTTAGCAGAAACACGTGGGCTTCAGCGACCACAGGTTCTAATATCTCCATCCAGATAGTTTGATGTGATCTGCCTCATCTTATGTCTTCGGGGGGATTATTTTAGACGTGCCACATGCTTCAGCTAAACATGATGCTGCACCGGTTTTGCAGTTTATGCAGAAAATACTCACAGGTTGCTTGTAGTGACACCTGCTGGCCGACTGGTTGTACAACAGCAGCGGTCCTGTGAAGCGTTTCAAACATGCAGCGTTCACGCAGCAACATCAGCTCACACACAGTAAAACAACGTTCCATCCACAGTGACCCAACAGCAGCCAAGTGTTCTGGCATTAATCAGTTAAGTGTAGTAGAAGGACAGCAGGACACCTTCACCGTGATGCTGATTCAGAGATAAACCACATAAAGTAAGACGTAGTTGTTATGATCTCCTACCTGGAGTCTGTCTGCAGCTTCTTTTAGTAGATCCTCCTCTTCTTCTGGTTCCTACTGATCTCTGCTTGGAATAACTGATAAACTTCTTGGATTGTTGTATTTTTTTTGTAAAAGTTAAATATGTGGGAAATTAAATTGTGAAAAAAGAACTAAAGGAATGGCCAGAGTAAGTTAATTCACATCTGTGTCATTCAGTTTATTCTGTAAATTCAAGACTTATTTGTGAGTTGAAGGGATGATTAAACACTGAAGAATAAAACCTGCTGCCCTCCTCTCTGCAGGACGTCAGGACTGACTGAGGCAGCTCCAGGTGTTACTTCATCCTTTTCTTTGCCATTTTTAGTGACTTCTAAAGTACAATAACACAAGTTTATCACAATCATCACCTTTTGAAAGTGCTTTAAAAAAAAACAAAACAATAAAGTTGCATGCAAGCAGTTCAGATTTACAGCGACACAGCAGATGTTTTAAACCCTACATGCCTCTATGTGGTGCTACAAAACATCTGTTGATGTGTAGATGGAAGAAAAGAGTCAATTAGATTAAAGGATCTTGGGCATCACATGGTTTTAGTGAATTCAACCTGGTCAGCACTTGATGGAGCATTCAAAAACCAGCAAATGTAAAAGATTGTTTTATTATTAATTTAAGAGTAGAATGCACAGTACGAGCAGCTTGACATTCTGGGAACACAAAGATCTGTCACTCAACTGAGAGGAAAGGCTTTTTTCAAACAGCGGGCTGAGTTCCTCGACATCACGACAACAAACAACAACAAAAACAATATCCATATCCATGATGTGTACAGTCCAAATAAGTTCGGTCAGTTTACCCCGACAGCGTCCTCTCCTGTCCTCTAAATCCTTTATGGGAAAGCAGGAGCAGCACTGCTGGAGGTCACGAGGGGCCTGAAGGCGTCTCTGGATTCGGCTTGTTTGTGGGGTCTCGAACAGTTCCTTCGTACACCACCTTGTTCTTCAAGCCTTCCTGTATAAACCTCTGCTGCACACGTAGTTTAGCGTTGTTCATCCTGCAGTAGAACCTGGAGGAGGAGACAAGAGAGTGTTTCTGTTAGAAACACAACAAATTGGAGAGGGAACGAGCAAACGCTGAGAAAACCAGGTCAGGTCAATACGTCACAAAATGCAAGTAGAAGGCAATGGTCCATCAGACCTACCAGGACCCAAGCGTGGTGACCATAAAACCTGCAAATCCTACGTCGAAAGACCTCTTAACCCGACCTGAGGACAAGAAGACAGAGTGGTGTTCAGAGTTTAGATACACATGCACACGTAGCAGATAAATACCAGAGAACTAATGATTTTCTTCATTAAAGTTAGGTTCATATAACACAGAGTTATGCTAATGTTTAGAAACACCCAAAGGTTTTACACAAATGATTGTACTGTGATAACCTGTATAAAAATAAAATGATTTGGCATTTTCTGAGATCTATATTTTAGGTGCCAAGTGACACTTTAAATAGTGACAGACTCAAATAAGACTCACTGGTAGCCAGGAAGTAGAGCAGGCCAGCAGCCAGTGAGCCTCCAGCTCCATGCAGGATGGCCTCTCTGGCACATGGAGTTCTCTGGACATCCAGGATCCCCATCAACCTGAAACCCTGAAGATGAACAAACAGAAGTAGATGTTAGAGCCCCACAAAGACTCCTGACTTATTTCCTTTAGTCAGACTTATTTAACATCAAGCCTGTAGTGTACTTTGTAGGCCTGACGTAACACTGTGCGCATTAGGAACGATGCAACCACAACAATATTTTCCACTGAACAGGAATGTGTTGATGGCAGTTTTATGTGCATAACAACAATAAATCCTTAAATCGTGACACTAAATATGTCTTCATAATTGAGCACTGGATGTAAATAAATCCTGGTAATCACGGACTCATGCAGGTTGTGGTTTCAGCTCCACGTCACACTTGAATCCTAAACATCTGCAGCTTGATAAGTAAGGCCACGGAGACAGATTCATGTTCTACAGAAATCTCAGGTGTCTTGGCGGATATTTTCTAGGCCGAATTCTTAAGAATGATATACTGTTTAAGAAAATCTCTTCACTACTCCCTTTGATGTGAGTTTCGTGTTTGTTCGCCGGTTAACCTTTAAATATCACATTTTCGAGCGTCAGTCTGGTACGAGGCGACCATGACTGATGGAGGGTATCCATTCTCTAGCTAGCTGGCTTCACTGACTGATCAATTAAAATCTCAATCTGGTAACATTGCATATCTTTAGCTCACGGTAACTTCAAATATCGGTAATTCTTGTGAAGTTAAATGAGCCCAGAGTTTGTCATCTCTAAATAAACACACAACTCAGAAACAAACAAGTTTGTAATGTAGCTACAAGTCTGTTTTCCGTGTTACTCAGCTTTTAACGGTAAAATGACTGAAGTAAGACGGCGATGCTTTATCTAAAAACAAAAAATAAAAACCTGATTAAACAGTTTAACCATTGACTATCGTTCAGTGCAGTTGTTGACCTTCTGAAACCTGGAAGCTAGCAGGATGTTTCACTGTATTTCCTTTTTGAACGTAAATCTACATTAAATCTTTACCTTATCTCGACTCTGCTCCTCTTCTCCTGCCATCGTCTCTCCGTGTTTGTCTCCTTCTGTGAAGGTTAAACTCAATATATCTTAAAAAATAACCTATATAATCATTTTTCGTAAGTGCATTGCCCTTGCGCATGCGCATTACCTGCCGGATGGGTCCGTCCGGTATTTATCGCCGACTCTAAACGAGGCGATGAAAAAAGATGGTTCCCACGTACGCAGGAAAAATTATTTTACTGTTTTAGAAAAAGACATTTAAATAAAAGTTAAAATAGCACTGAATTATGTTTACTAGTTGC